TGGAATCTGATTACTTGAAGAAAGAGCTTATTACTAATCTTATTACTAATCGAGCTTATTATCTAATCCATTGTTCTTTTATAATATTCCCATTGAGTAATTAAAAAGTTTTTAGTGTTGTAGCAGTCTTTGTCTCGCTTGCAGGAAATGAAAACCGAATTTTTTGTAAGCACATTTGTTTTCGTCTCTCCTAAAAAGCTGATTTACAATAAAGAAAACTTAAGTAATGCTTTTTAGTTTACTTTACCCGGTATTAAAGTTTAATATTTCCTTTTGGCTTCAAAAGCAAGGAGCATTAAAGTGCTACATTGTAACAATCAAATGTTTTAACCGTCTATAGGATATATTTATCTTTCGAAAATACGAAGATTTTCCAAAGACATTTATACAATATGGATCTGTCGCCATGTTGACAGCTTTTTGTAATAGTTTTCAGTGTTTGGAATATACAGATTTTTTTATGCTTATAAAATGCTTAAAAATTATTACGAATATAATGAAAAACCTGTATAATTACGACCATACAAAATGATTTGGTCACTGCAAATTTCTAAGTATATTAAATTTGATGAGATAAAAATTCCACCTATTTTCGAAAGCATCAAGCTAATTTGTGAACTAGAAACATGAAAAAAGAAACGTAGTAGTTTATCATACTTGCCGATATATGTTACCTTATCGAAACATAAAATGTATGTGGACAAAAAAGAAGGAAATACATGCTCAACGCTTTATCCATCACCTATAGACTTCATTAAATATGAAACAATGCAAACAGTTTACAATTATTTTTTAAGAAACGGTATAATTAATTGAATTTGTTTTTATAGTTTATATTATATTAATTTTTACAGTTTATATTATATTAATTTATAGTTGAACCAATTAAAAGTAGGATGGATTATACATAGGGCGCACGATAAGTTTCCGGAACTGGTCACTTACATAAACAATATTTAAAAAGTAATTACAACATTTGAAAAGGGAACTCTTTGGCTGTAGAATATAGTTTGTTCTATCTGACTGTCACTTGTTTTTACATTGTGACGTCATTTTAGAAATTGGTTGTCTAGATTACCATGGCTTTAACTCGTGAAAATTTTTGAAGTATGATTTTCTACGACTTTAAGTGTAATGTAACAGCTCAGCGGAGCTTCGCTCGGATTCAACCTGCTTTTGGCGATGAAGCACCATGCAAGACGACTATTTATAGCTGGTTTTGCAGAATTCAAAATTCGGTCGTGTAAATCTCAGTGATGAATTTCGTGATGGTCGCCCATCCACTACTGTGAACAACAAAAACATCGATGCTGTGCGCTGTATGATCAAATCAGACAGGCATGTGATATACCATAAGACTCGGGCTTCCTTAGGCATAGGCATGAGTCAAATACAATCAATACCACACAAACATTTGGGTGTGAAAAAGTTGTGCTCTCGGTGGATCCCACACAATTTGACTGAGGCTCAATAAACGGATCGCGTCACTTGGTGCAATGCCATACTTACCAGATTCAACGAAGGGGCGTCAAATTTGGTGTGGGACATAGTAACAGGCGACGAAACATGAATTTATAGTTACGATCCCAAAACAAAGCAGCAATCGAGCCAAAAAAACCAAACTCGGTAAAAATAACCGTAAACGCCGTATCATCTGGCACCACGATAATGCCAGTTCTCACACGGCCAGACAGACAAATGAATTATTGACCAACGGTGACCTTATGAGCTATCCCACGTACAGTCCCGACCTGGCACCTTGTGACTTTTATATAATTCCAAAAATTAAGAACCAGTTACGAGATCAACGATTTTCATCATCTGAAGAGGCTGTCGAAGAGTATCAAAAATATGTTTCAGAGATTGTCACGGAGGAGTGGCATAAATGTTTTCAAAATTGGTTCATTCATATGTAAAAGTGCATTAACGCTAACAGAGAATATTTTGAGAAACAATAAATTCATTTTTGACCATTTACACAATTTTTTTCTTATTCATTCCGAAAACTTATAGTGCGCCTCACGTACAAGCTCTTTGTGATGGTCATATCTTCTAAAACTACTGCCGAAGTTGTACCGGTATAAAGAAGTGCGCACAAAGTTGTGCAGGGCGGCGATGGAAGCTGAATACATACACGCCCCGCCACATTTAGCGGAACACTAGTAGAAAAACATGTATGACAATGCAGTATTTTTTTCAAAAGACTGGTGGGTTATTTTACTTTTTTATTTTAGGTGTTATTGGAAAAAAAAATAGTCGACTGTATTTTTTTATTCATTTCTTTTAATTTCCTACATTTGAAACTCGTTTTTGGAATACTTTCAGATTTTGCATTATTGTAAATTTCGTAAACTAATAGGCATAGAAATTATAAAGAAAACTTTAGTTGAAAAGCTTTTTAATATTTACGAAAGTTTAAGTAAATCAATGTCAAATTACAATTTTGAATTTTCAGCTGTTTCTGTTTTCTCATAATAATATAATCTATATAATAAATATACATAAGTTATATATAATAAAAAAAAATTCGTCGTATTTCTGAAATTCCTTACAATTGCTGTGCTAAATGCGATTGGTCTTCCTTTTTCAAATTTACTTAACGCTAGGTATTATCCGCATCACATTTACTATTTATCGGATTATTTCCGTAAAGTACACAAAAGCTAGGTAAACCTTTTGACTGCACGATAGTTTTAAAACAACGAATAATAAAATGCAAGAATGCTCCTCAGTTGCTGTGAAAGAAAAGGCAAAGGTTTAAAACCATGCAACCAAATACCCAGGTACACTATATTTATCTTAAAAAAAAAGTGTATTTTTTGTATGGGACCATACCTTTAGCGCCCCATCGTTACAAAGTCTTAGTCGATCCAGTTTTCGAATCACCACATACGTATTATTAGGCTTATCTCCTATATGCACACTAAACGCGCGCCCAAACCTGCCTATTCACTACTTATATTGCACATTTTTTCACGCGTATAAGTAGTGAATAGGCAGGTTTGGGCGCGCGCAATTACGTCAATTTGTAATGTTCTTAAGTGATTTCCCGAATCCCAAAAAGGTCCTAAAAATATTGTCGTAAAGCAACCGCCATTTTCTGTCTATGTTTCTCGAAGTTTCGGTAATAAACTCTGCTTATTCCAATCCCTGGTTATTATATATCAGATGGACTTTGACATTGTGGGAACAACTGTCAGACTATTTTTGTTCTTTTGTGCCAAAGGTTTTACAAGTTAAAAGAGGTAGATAGTTTGTTTTAAGCGCTTCAAACGGTGGTATATTAAAGTTGGCGAATTCGCCAATTTGAACACAGACTCAGGTTGCACCCTGGAGTTATTGAATGTCGGGATCGTAAGTTTTTTTTAATTTTCCATTTTTTATTAACCTATTACGTGTTTATATTATGACGTGTTATGAGATTTGTAAAATCATGGAATCACTTTTCATGCGTTGATATTACTTTCATATTTACTATTTTAATAAATTGCGTTTTCGTTCACATAAATCGTGCATCCCACTTTCGCTTGCGGAAATAGACATGTCGTCCTACTTACACTCATTGGGTACATATAATTGAGACGTTTCAATGTGCTGATGCCATTTATAGGTGCTAGCTAAAACTACTTTAAATAGAAACGTAACATTACGGTTTTTTTACTTATAAAAATCGTTGATTTGTAGTATTTTTATTATACATATATACCAATTTATTTAAACGTTTGTCTCTCAGAGATAATCTCGTCCCAGTTTGTAAATTGCCCCAACATCAAATTTATTCAAAGCAAATGTCAAGTTGTGGAAAAACTATACTGACCAAATCTTAAGGTATTTCCTTATTAAGAAGCGGGGTATTAATTATTAAGCAATGTACTATCTCGAAAAAAAAATATTTCCAATCGTCATAGGCACAATGATGCTTTCAAAAATTAAAATCTCAAGGAAGCCTCGTCATAAACAATAATTCCATACCTTTCTAAACGTAAAGTGTTCTATACTTTCGATATTCGAAAAGTGGCTAGGTAATATACCTACATTAAGAATAAAAATGGACCTAGAATTGAAGCTTGAGGTCGCCCATAGTAAATGTTAACTGGCGACTTCATACGATTGAAATTGTTCAATCACTAGAGTATGAAATTTTGCACTTAAGTACCTATCATACTTTTTATAATAGTATCTATGTTTGTTAAAGGCTATGTGTAATTTCTTAATTAATTCCAATACAAAATAAATATATATTTATTGATTATACGCACTAATTATTCTATTATTTCTTGAGAGGGATAAAATTGATTTGAACCTTAGAAAATCCATCCAGGTCACCTTAATTCCAACAAGACTCCGGGCGTGTTCCTTAACTACATGTAATGAATCTTTCGATTTTTCTGCTGAAATTTCACGATTTGTATTCACTGCTGTCATTATCAGGACCTGTCCGGTTCTCGAAGTTGTTTTAATAAATTCGACACAATAATATTAAATGCTCGAAATTCACCATATTCATATTACTTATATACCATATATACTATAATATCATTACTCCACTAACTAGCAAATATTATATTCGAATTGAAGTTCTTTGGAACGTATAGGTTAATCGACATGTTGGTTCGTGTTTATTGTATTATAGGTTCATTATTAAGTATACGATTTGTTTTTGTGATAAATTATAGACGACTTTTTTTATTTATAAGTACACCTACAAATCTTGTCACCGGGAATGAATGGAAAGGAAATAATTTTTTTTTATGTACTATATGGGTATGTGTACATATGGGTTGCTATAGCATCCACAGCTACCGACTATGTAGTTCGTGGATAATATGGATCAATTTTGCTTTAAAACGGGTGTATCGGTTTAGACATCTGAGACTTCATCCTCTGCATTCGCAGTACCATTATTATTATTATTATTGTTATTATTTAATATTGCGGGAGTACGGGTAGATGTCAGGTGAAATTTTTATAAAATAATAAATCAGATTATTATTGCGCAGAGGGACGCAGCGCGGAGTATGCAGAGCTGTGCAGCGCGCCGTTTGCGGAGCGGTCGGCGGCGGACACGGAGGCGGCGCACGAGTTGCTGTCCCTGGCGCAAAGCCTGCCGCCGCTGCCGCCCACCGCTGTCGTCACCGTGCTGCACGAACCCGCCCCGCCCCTCATGCCTGTCTACACGTACACCATCCAACCTACGAATATCTACATCGTAGCCGAGGAACCACCACAAGAACACCCGCCTGTCTACCACACCGTGCAGACAGTCACTCCTGTTCAAACAATAGAGTACGTCGACCCGCCGCAGCCGGTCAACTATATCACCTACCCGTCTACAGATGATATTCAAACTGGGTATGTGGAGGAAATAGTAGAGGAGTACGAATATGTCGAGCAGGTTATAACAACTTGCGAACCAGAGTGCGAGGCGCCCGATATCGAGCTCGAGCTTATTCACGAACCCCAAGCTGAGCCCGAGCCTGATATTGAGGAAGAAGATCCGCCAACGCCACCGCCACGACCTACGCGCGTGTGCAGAAAGAGCAAAACGGCTAAGTATGATTGCAACGAGTGTGGAAAAAGGTATGCGACTTCATCAAACCTATCGCGGCACAAGCAAACGCATCGCAGCCTGGACTCGCAGGCGGCAAAGAAGTGCGGTGAGTGCGGTAAGGCGTATGTGTCGATGCCAGCGCTGGCCATGCACGTGCTGACACACCGCATGGGACACGTATGCGGCGTGTGTGGCAAGCAGTTCTCGCGACCGTGGCTGCTGCGCGGTCACCTGCGGTCGCACACTGGTGAGAAGCCATACAGTTGCGGTGATTGCGGTAAGGCTTTCGCGGATCGCTCTAATTTGCGCGCGCATCTTCAGACACACTCCTCTGATAAGAAGTATGAATGCGAGCGCTGCCGTAAAACGTTCGCGCTCAAAAGCTACCTTAACAAACACCAGGAGTCAGCATGCGTGCGCTCCGATGATGAGTAAGCGCGCCTCGATGCGCCCAAACCACGATTGCAACGAAAGTTTTCTCTATGAACTTCTTTACATCTATATAAGGAAAATATTTTGAAGCCTAGCTGCTCGTTAGTTTCGATGGCGTCATCGAAGGAATTATAAGCAATATTAAAGTACCTAAAATATCGTTATGGCTCTTTCCATAATTCTAATTTTAAAAGTTAAATTGTATTTTTTCAATTATTAGTCCGGCATCGACAAAAGGAATCGTGTCAATTTATGGCAAGAGCCTCCAGTGTTACATCGTATCGTATAGTTAAAAATAAAGTTAGTGGTAAGATAGAGCCCGGGAGTAGCCGCAGCGCGCCCGCGGTCGTGATAGATGTAGTTACGGTGATACGTAGAGACTTAATGAAACCGTCGAGCTGTGGTACAAAGAGAGCAATAAGTAACGAGTGTAGAGTGGCAGTAGCGCACGAGTAGCGTGCAGCGGTAGCGAATAGCTTGCAGGCAGTGGCTCGAGAGGACCAAACTGTTGCTCGGGCGCTGTCCCCCGGCCCTGCATCTGCCCACTCTCCGCGGCAGGAGTGCCACACATATCCACACTCATCACTACCTAAACACTACACAGTATTCCACACTATCGCATTACTTTTGTTACTTTGGAAAATGCATCATAGTGTTGAACTCTTTAAAAATTGTACCGCCGTTCTACAAAAGGAGACCAAATTAATAATAATATCTAGTAGTATCTGCCCCATTGTCGCGGAATATATGACGCTTACTTTCTAGTCACTGGAAGAAAACTTCAAAGGGTATATTTAGACTATACGTTCGAGGCAGCTTACTCTCACAATATCGATTAGATTACAAAGACAATTTTAAATTGCTTGGAAATATTCCAACCCTTGAAAGCGACCTGTTATAAGTTTTGAACACAAGACCAAAACAATCAATAAATATTTAGTCTCTTACTCATTGGAAACCATGTAAGTACAAACGGCGTTACTTCTTACCATCTCATAAAATTTACGCGTGACATATTTGTATCAGTTTATACCTATAGATACATAATATGAATAAAAACTTATTCGGCACCAAGATACAGTTCATGCAATCACTAGGGCTTTTATATTCTCGAAAAGTAGTCAAAGGTAAGTTTCGGGACCTGTTGGCATACATACCAGTAAGTGAAGCAAAATGAGGGCGTAATGAAGGATACATTTTGGAGCAATAATGTAAAAAAATAACATTACACAAATGGAAAGAAAATTAAGTACCTACGTCCTGGTTTTGAAGACACCGCAGTATCTTTGGTACTAGATAAGAATTGATATTACACGTAGTTGTAAGTAGCATAGACTTTGTATTGCTTTAAAGATATTATTTGTATTTAAGTATTATTTTAACATCAAGTACCTAAGTAATAAGTGTTGTTATTAAATTTTTCATGGTTTGCTTAGGCGTGAGGGTTTGAGAGGGCATCGAAAAGATTGTTGAAAAGATATTTTTGTAGAAAGTTGAGCAAAACCATGACGTCTTTCTGTATTTATTCGTAAGTAGTTTCAATAATGACTATGGAGTCAATTGTAGTATTATAATAAGCTAGTGGTACGTTTAGTAGTCTCGTGTTTTTTTTTATAAATACATATGCGTTTATAGATCTAAAACACGAGAAAATTTATATTTAAGTAAAAGGATTTTGAACAAACCAGAAAGCAATAATAACATAAAAATTTCGTACGTATGTCATATATTTAAGCCACAAAATATTTAGTCCATTGAAAGTTTAAATAGTATAACAAATTTTCATATTTCCAAGTCAAGAAATTTTTGATATTATATCATACAATATTGTCATAATTAAATCTTGTATTTTATATAAATTTCACTAAAACCAAATTTATACGCAAAAGGCGGTAATAAAATAACCACGTTTATTCAACTCGTTAAAACTTTATTATTTTCACCGAACCGTATCACCGGTGCTTATTTTATGGTACACGACGAGGTACAAAACAAAATGTAAAAACGTGTTTCATAATTCAATTGTTTTCACCTGTAGGTTTAACTCTTAAAAACGTTTTGAAAATATTTTGTTCACAACCTAACGAAACTCTAATCCAAAGTACCTACGACTTCTCAACGAATCATTAAATTATAATATATAAATAAAAATTCTATTCACGTTACACAAATTTTGATATTAATACACAATTAATAAAAAATATAATTATTTCTAAAAACGATGTTTAGGACAGAAGGATAAAATATGTCAGCTAATTTTGTTGCTATAAACAAAATAACATTGGGTTCTAATGAGAAGGCCTAAGCGTACGTGACACAGTGACAGTAACGTGCAAAGAATGTTTGGTATATACGAGTATCTTAAACAGACACTGGGAATGTATTTCACGTAAATAACATACCTTAAATACGTATACTTAGGAGTGCATGCTATTTTAGCCTTAATTATAGTGTCGCACATTATCTACTTTCAAATTAATTAATGTCAATTTTAGTAATGTTTTGTCAATTTCTAACGTTGGGTAGATTAGTGTAGGGCCTCACCACACTGGGGCGTAAGTAAGTAAGGTAACACTCTCTCTTTCAGTAATAATCTGAACATGTGTTTATTATTATGATTATAATTCAGTTTAAATTATATTTATTATAAATCTAAACACAAAATCGAAACAACACGAACATGAAAAACAACTTGATTTCTTATAATGTACCAGCAGGAATATAATGAAACGACTGAGTGTGAGACAAACAACAAACTACTTTGTCGTATTCAGACCTATTAGAGATTCTTTCGGTTTTTTTATGAATTGTCTAGTCCCAAAGTGTAGTCGGTGTTAATGGTTTGATGGATAACCATAATACCAAATACCTAGTCAAAAATTAGGGAATTCCCAGTGCCATGAATACCAGGTTTAATTCTAGGGGACCTACTAAGAACGTTTAAAGGTTTTTTCCTAAATAGGTCTTAGCAGAACCGAAATGGAGATCTCCCCGTCTAGCGTCCGATTGAATGGACCCACCCCGAGATCGTCAACTGACACAAAGTACTTAAGTCCTAAAGTTCTGAAATTGCGTTTGAAAGCAAAGTGCCATATTTCTAGTCATTTTTAGAGCAGTTTAAAAAAACTGTTCAGAATAAGACTGATAGACGGAGCGTATGATTCTCGAACCATGTCTTCCAAAAAATTAATTTGTGCTCGGTTCATTTATATCAACTGAAATTTTCCATAACAAATACTTTCGATTAAAGGCTGATTATATTTTTCGAGTATTACCGCAATGAAACTCCTTCAGACGACGCGTTGGATTGTACTGTGAAGATATGTAGATTCGTACCATAACATAGACAGATCTTGATATAAATGTAACCAATTTATTCAAGTAGACACAAAGAGTATTAATAATAATATTGACGCCTTAGCGTTTCTATACCGCATAGCTTTAGCGTAGGAATTCAAATAACTTTACTATGTAGTGCTCGATATTTGTATATTAGCCTTTACGGCGTCCTCTGTCTGCAGCGAGGCTCAATTGATAAACAAATCAAGGCACCGCATCGTGACGGGTCCGGCTCGGGTGTCAACTTGAACTGGTTGCGTTAATTTGTAATTTACCACTCTATGGTCAGACAACACGCGCGCAGATTTTGCTTCACGCCGAGGACGCTCTTGCTGTATTGAAACAAGGATGCGTTTTATCCATACCAGTAAACACTCGCTGTTGAAGCGATGGTATTAATCGATAGTTCGGTTTAGACATTATTTTACGTACTTAGTTATAATTATACCACTTTTTATACACAATAGTAATACAAACTTGATTAAGTGATAAATATCATTAAAATAATTTTTAGCGCACTATATTATTATAACTTTATATTTATATCTTTATACATTACCTACTTATATGAAATTTTAGGTATAAGAAATCTTTGTCGTAGGAACCCAATAAAATGTTCGAAAAGCAATAAAATTCGCCTATACAATTTCATAAAAATTAAAATAAATAAAAAATGTCAATGTTATTGGGATTAAAAAAATATATTTATAGGAAGTAAAAATAAAAATAATAGAAAATCATAAAGAACGAGTGAGTACCTACATACACGGGTACAAAAATTTGGTATAAAATATTTCAATATAACACATAATTTGATGGTTGATTGTAACTTGTTTGGTTTACTCTAGGTACAGTGTTTTCTATTCCACGTATTTACTTACATACCTAACTTGTATTATAATACTTTTGGATACTACAACGTCGCGAGGTCTCACCACGTGACACAAACAAACATAACGTCAGGTATATATATTCAACACGTACTACAAAAATATCAATAGTTTTTCACTACCTATGTGACTATAACTATGTATATACTCAAAAATAAATAGGTATCTACCTATACTGTTTTATGTTTTTGAGACGAATCCATCGACACTCGTCACCTAGAAAGTAGTTTTTCATTCTAAGACATTTTGTTATAGTATTTTTTTAAAGACGCTCACACCACCTTTTCTAGTCTTTAACTAGGGATTTCCCTATACTATGAGTACCAGAGCACCGGAGTTCACACCGGGGCACAAACCAGAACACCCAGACTAGAACCAATTAAGAAAAGTTTATCTCTCAAATTGATCCTACCAGAAATCGAATACTGAACCTCCTTAAAACTCATAACCGTCACATTTTATACTCTTGTACCCAAGGTAAATTCTCATTTAAAATGTGTATTCGCAAGAGATTCGTAAAGACCTGTGAACAACAAAACATTCTCTGCAATTTCCATTAGGCTATGACGCGCTTCAGGCAGGGCGAATACTCCACTCGACTAATTAGCAACGAGTTAACTATTATTAACATTGACAATTTAGTCTCGATTAATTTAAACGAAAAGAATAACTCATAACTTAAAACGTAATAAAGTTCCTAGACAAATAAATATAAAGTACAATTAATGAAATCAAAGCAATAGAAATTATATTTAAGGTTTCACAAAATAGAAATAATCTACTAGATAATTTTAAATTGGGTAACAAACTCGGAATGATATAAAGGGAAACATTAAATCAAGTTATTATAAATAAGAAA